GTAGATAATCTTATGAATAAGGTTTGATTTGTGGCTTTGGATTATATTGATTTGGTTATTTATCTTGTTAAGCTTGTTCAAAGATCCTTATATGTTAATGACAATTATTTTCTGTTAATGACTAAGTATATTGAGTTGTATTAACATTTGCTTGATTACTTGAATCTTATGGTTTTGTGAAAACAAGATTGTATGCATAGTGTTGTGAACATAACCTAGGGTTAACTAGAGAGTAAATAAGTTAATGTGTGAGCATGTATGATGACCAACCATATTTGAGTTAATTGAAACAACCAATTTGATTAACTATTATTACAACTCTTACTTGATTCGAATTGAACACTAGTAAATTCTTTGATTCAATCACTTGATCACTACTTGAATTGATTTATTTGCTAAAGGATTAGTAATAGTGAACATGAACCTAATCACATTAGAAATCGATAATTAATGATATATTAATCCATTGCACTTGCCATGAAATCGATCATAGGAATAAGTGAATCGAATCTAAACGGAAGTCTCTTTAATCTTATTGAATTTAGTTGTCTTTTGCTTTTCTTTTAGTTGTTAATTGTTGTTTGCTAAGTGTTTAGTAATTGCTTAAGTTTCTAGTCTTGCAAAACTAGAGAAAAACCCCTTTTAGTAATTGTTTTATTTAGATAATATTAGTAATATTTTAATTGTTTACCGTTCCCTGAGTTCGATACCCTACTTGCCTACACTAAACTGTTAATCGATATGTACACTGCATTCCGTGTGTTTGTTTTTGTGTATGAGTTACATAGGATTAAAACTAGTACATTCCACACGTATCAGGTCACAGAGAATGGAATGTCAAGATCTCATGTCAAGATCTCAAACCTCACTCACAACAAGAAATAACTTCATTAGTGACGCTACCTTTAGCGACGACACACTTTTTTAGTGACAAAATCAGACAAACGCGCCTTATGTCGCCGCTAAAGGGTCTCATCGTCACTAAAGGCCTTCCACCGGCGATCCTGGCGATCCACGTGAACGAAATCTTGGCCGTAAGATTATTTTTGGATCAGACGATTAATAATCACGGCAGAAGGCGCGTAAGTTTCCCTCCGATTTGTCGCTGCTATTGCCCTGGCGTCGTCGCTAAAGGTGTCGCTGCTAAAGGGTAAGCACCTTTTGATCCTCCTTCGTCCCAGGCGACCCATTTTTTGCGCATATTTCCTCCTCTCACAAATTCCCACGACGACGATCACCACCGTTCTGTGGTTCAATTTTACGGCGTAATACACCCACATAAACCACCGTTAACCAACAATTGCTTCTAGGCTGACGTTTTCCATTGATTTTTGGTGTTTTCTAGCGATTTCCGATGTTTTCCGGCAACAACAATCACCACCTGTAACCTCCGTCAACGTGCGTTTTCTCTTTTTCTTATTTTGTTACCAATATTTCATCCTATATAAATTATTTTGGTGTTTTCAAGGGAATTCGTCACACCCCCTGTTGTCACCGGTGAATACCACCACCACAGCACCACTAACTTCGGTTTTCCAGCGACAGTTAATTTGATAAGTTTTGCTTCTTTCTTTTTCTTTTCTTAATGTAGGTATGTGAAATGTATATGAAATGTATGAATATGTATGTATGTGTATGTATGAAAAATTGTATGTGAAAATGTGTGTATAAGTGTATTTGTATGTAAAATGTATATATATATATATATATATATATATATATATATATATATATATATATATATATATATATATATGAAAACATGTATGTGAAAATGTATGTATATGAAATGTAGATATTTGTATGTGAAAATATATGTATAGGAAATGTAGGTGTTTGTATGAGAAATATATATGTATTTGTATATGAAATGTTTTTGTATGTATGAAAAAATATATGTAAAAATGTGTTTATAAGTGTATTTGTATGTGAAATGTATGTATATGTGTGTATATATATGAAAAAATATATGTGTACGTGAATTTGAATGTGAAATGTATGTATATGTGTGTATGTATATTAACAAATATATGTTAAAAATGTATGTGAAATGTAGAATATGTGTGTATATTGTATGTATATGTGTATAATGTATGTTATGCTAGGATGTTATAATTGAAAAAAAATAGGATATGGAAAAAAGTTATAATGTCATAAGAAAAATAGAAACAAAAATAAGTTTATATTAAAAATAAAGTTTGTATTTGTTGCAATCATATATATATATATATATATATATATATATATATATATATATATATATATTATAACATATTGTGTTATAATTTTTCAGGATGTCAATTTTTTGGGTTGGATTGGTCTATCTCATGGCTGCTGTGATGGGCCATGGAGGTGATGGTGGTGACGAGCCACAACATCTGTTCAGTGGAGGTTTTGGTGTTCACCAAATCGATGGTAATTAAGATTTAGTCTAATTCATTGTATTTCATATTGTATGTATATAAAAAAACTATCGTGACTAATATTTTTTTATTCAATTGTACCTCCCAAACGAAGAGGCATAGCAGTAAACAAGAAAATGCATCGGCTATACGAAGCAAATGGCAAGCGGCCTCTAAAAATAGTATTTGATAGAAATACTTTTGTACCGCTTGGGGATGTATACGAATGCTTCATTCGGGAGGTTGGAAGTTATATCTGGCGCGACATAGCTTTGGATAAGAATGCCTGGAAAGAAGTTCCTGAAGCCGAAAGGAATGGCATGTTTACGTATGTTTCGGTAAATTATTTTTAAAGTTATATTTAACATGTTCAATTTTGATTTATTTTTAACTTCTCTATTTTTTGTAGACATTTTTTGATTTTCAAGCCATTTCAAATGATCCCGATGCTAGAATTTTATGGGCGTCACTGAACAATCAGATATGTCAGCGGTATAGAGGCCGCAAAAATAGGGCAAAATATAAATTTATAGATATGCCAGAGGGTATGGAGGCAACAAGGCTCGACCCCCCCCCCCCCCCCCCCTCCCCGAGTATGGATTCAACGCGTTGGAGTGCTATTCTTGACCAATTCTTAACATATAAGCATTGTAAATGATCCAGTGTAAACAAAGAACGCTGGAAGAAGCAAGTAGTTAAGAATCGTGGAGGGACGTGCAGCTACGGTAATGCTTCTTTCAAGAATGTAAGTTACATTAATTTTTATTCAGTTATAACATATTTTGTAATGTTTATTCAAGCATAACATATTTTTTTAATGTTAAACAAAATTTGAAAAAACTTGAAGTATTTCACCGCGTGCATGTCAATAAACAAGAGGAATTCGTTGACCCGTTAGTCGAAGAACAATATGTAAGTTATTATTACTTAAGAATGATGTAGAATGTTGTTGTTTTTGTGTTTGTTTTGAAGTATATTGACAATCTTCGTGAAATACAGAATGCTTTAGTTGTTGAGGTTGCTTTACAAACTCAACACATAGCCGACTCCAATGGTGATCAGAACTCCATTGATTGGATAGCCTTATTTGATGGCAGCACATGTGGTTGGTGGCGGTGTGTGGTTATTTGAGTTTGACTTCTTTAAATATGTGAATTAGTGTAGAATGTATTGTATTATGTTATGTTGTGAATTTTGTGTATTAAATTAAAACGAACTCTATTAAGCTGTATATTTTATATAAATTTTATGTTAAAATATGAATGAATGTATGTATGAAAATATTAAACTATATATAAATTAATTAATATGTTTATTAAAATGTGAATATGATATTTTAAACTGTAAATATATGTTATACACGACACATTTTTTTTAAATAATCTACAACTTAGAAAAAAAATGAATTTCTCAAGGTATAGTTTTATTTTTTTTAAAATTTTGTATATTTGGGTGCAAAAATGAAATTTTATATGTTAAAAAGTATTACCAAAAAAATGAAAACTACAATGTTTGTTCTATTAAACTGTTAACACAAGTAGAAAATATCATTGAACTTGGTGTTAATCCAACGGTGATCCGGCAGCTGTTCCACAACAAATGACAATTAGTTGTAAATCAAGGAATGAAAAATTGTAGTTAAGATAATAATGTTTGATGTCTCTAAAATGCCCTAAATGAAAACATTTTAAAAAAATGGTTTTTAAAATACTTAATCTTTTTGGGTCCTCATCCGATCTACATGTATTATTGAAAAAAAATTCTACTATATATTAGTATATTAGTAGAAGTAATAAAAATTTTAAATTTTAAATAATACATATTAGTGATTAGACTTTTTGATAGGTTTGTTCAATTATTGAAAACTGAACACAACGCACCACCGATGAAATAAATGGGTTGTATCTGTTTTATTATTATTATTTTTTTTTTATTTCAACCGAATTGTAATGGTATGAGCTGCCTGCCTGCCACCATTAAGTAATGGATAGATTACTCTGAATATTAAACAAAGTCTGTCGCAGTTGACCCGCGTTGCGCTCGAAAAATATGCATGGTATTATTACTTTCCAGACCTGATGAAACTTCTCCTCTCCTTCGCCGACCCCCACTGTTTCCGCCGTTAGCCACCACGGCCACCCCAACCTGAACACCACATCCGTCTCTCTCAGCTAGCTGCGTCCCCTGTTCGGTTCTCAATATTTCCAGACGTCACGTCACTGCTATCCTCTAGATCTTTCTCCCTCTTTCATTTAGTTCAACAGATAGACGTCGACAAGGACATCGTCGGTTGGTGTATGTCAATCATATTGCACATCTTATCGACCTCTAGTGGTAGCTTCGTCAGCAAACTAATCTTTGCAAATAAAGATGTTGAAGTAGAGATTTTCTCAGAGGATGGCGATTTGGAGGTCTGATTAATTAGATCTCGTTCGGAAATGGCTTAGCACGATCTGTTTGCTTGCCTTTTAGATATTAAATTATACCTGGAAGCGCCATATGAAGAGAGAAATCACTTCGTGGAGGAACGTTGATTTACTGATTTTGTTTGCGACACCATATATATCAAACCGTCTGTGTGTTTGTTTGCATACATCGATGGAGTCAACAAATTGGGGAGGTGAGTTTTGATGGAATTCCAGTGAATTCTTAACTTTCATTTTTTCCGGATAAATAGCAGCTTGGATCGCCTGGGTCTCATCTTTGACTTTGTCTGCTTCCTTTCTCAGCATATCATTGCTTAACACTTTGTACTTTTCGTGATACAAAAAGTATGTTTTTCAAAAAGGAGTTAGATCATCTTATTCTTAGAATACCCTTTCAAGATATTGAAATAGCCACCAAAAACTTCACAACCATCATCGGGGAGGGCGGATATGGCCCTGTTTATAAAGGAAAACTCTCACTTTCTGGTAATCTCACCTCTGTCGCTGTGAAGCGCCTACCAAGAGTTAGCCTTTCTGGTCAAGGGCTCAAAGAGTTCTTAACAGAGATTAACCTGCTCTCTCGTTATAAACATCTAAACGTAGTTTCCCTTCTTGGTTATTGTGAGGAAGCCAACGAAAAGATCCTTATATATGAGTACGCAGAGTATGGAAGCTTCGACAAACATCTAAAGAGTAGAGTGTGTCAACTGACATGGAGGCAACGGATGAATATATGCATCGATGCAGCCCGTGGTTTGGATTTTCTTCATCACCATGTTGGAGCACATCATAGAGTTATCCACAGGGATATAAAGTGTGCAAATATTCTTTTAGGTCACAACTGGAAAGCTATGATTGCGGATTTTGGACTTTCCAAAATAGGTCGTGCGAATGAAATGGACACTTATCTCATTACCAATGCTGGTGGGACGCTTGGTTACTGTGATCCGGTATACATAAATACTGGGATATTAACAAAAAAGTCGGATGTTTATTCATTTGGCGTTGTATTGTTTGAAGCATTATGTGGGAGGTTGTTCTTTATGGATATAGCTGGTGAAAAACGACTTCATGTTCCACGGGCCAGACACTACTATGAACATGGAAAATTAAATGAGATTATTGATCTTAATTTGAAGGCTGATTCAAAATCCGTGAAAGAGTTTTCGGATATTGCGTATCGATGCTTGAATGATGTTCAGGAAGCACGACCTTCAATGGATTTGGTGTTATGGAAACTTTTAAAAGCATTGGAACTACATGTAAGTTCAATTCAAATATGTTGAATGTTTTATGATTTTTTTTTTTTTTTCACTTTTCTGAAAATTTGTTTGGTGATACAGGAACTTGAGGAAGCTTATGAATTGCAAGTAAGTTGAAGTTCATTGACAATCAGTAGGTTCCTTTGTGTCTATGTATGCTAAATTAACTTATACATATTTCTCGTCACATATCCGGTGTTACAGGAATTTGTGGAAGCATTGGTATTGCAAGTAAGATTCAATTTTTTCAAAATTAAGAGGTCTCATAGTGTCCATACTAATGATCAACTTGCATGAATTGAACATGAATTTGTACGCTTTTTTGAAATTCTGTTTCCTGCTATAGGAAATTTTGGAAGCTTTGGAATTGCAGGTAAGTTATATACACAACTTTATATTTGCCAAATTAGTTAGAATATATAAACTCATATGACTTTTTTGAAAACTTATTTGGTGGTGCAGGAATTTGAGAAAGCATGTGAATTGCAAGTAAGTTCAATCGAATGTTAAGGGGTTCCTCTTATGCTGAATTAAACTACAATGAATGAATTAATACACATCTTCAAATTAAATTTGTTTTTGTGGTACAGGAACTTGAAGAAGCATTAGGATTGCAAGTATGTACAAATTTATTTAAACTAATTAAGAGGTTACTTTGTGTCTATCCTTGCATATATAATTAGAGTGAGCTCATACAGTTTTCTGAAAATTTTGTTTGGTGGTACAGAAGCTTGTGGAGATGTTGCAAGAGCAGGTAATTAAGTTGGAATTTATAGAAAATTAAGATATTTATCCATCTTTATATAAATTAATTAATACACTTTTTGAACACTTACATTTGCTGGTATAGGAATTCGCAGAAGTATCCATGTTGAAAGTAAGACAAGTTATTTTTGAAAATTAACAGGTTCCATCCCATTGTGTCTAAACTCTACTAATCAACTCGAATGAATTCAAACACTTTTCTAAAATTCTTTATGTCGTATAGGAATCTGAGGAAGCTTTGGAATTACATGTGAGTTCATATTTGCTGAAAGTTAATATGTTAGTTTGTGTTAATGCATGCGAAATAAACATCCGTAAACTCATACACTTTTATGAAAATTTGCCTAATTAATGATACAGAAACTTGCGGAAACATTGGAATTGCATGTAAGTTTTTTATCTCTTTTATAATTCCCTTATTAAATGTCGATCTATATATGCAAAATTAACTACAATGAACTCACACCTTTTTGTGATTTGTTTGGTGGTACAGAAACTTGGGGAAATATTGAACCTGCAAGTAAGTTCGCATTTTGATGTTTATTGGTGTTATCTATATGTTAAATAACTAAAACGAATATACTTTTTTCCTTACAACTATCCAAAAAGTAGTATTGAAGTATTAGTTTCAAAGTGGATTTCTTGGTCCAAAGAACAATTTTTATTATTTTATTTTAATAAAATTAGGTGTATAGTATACTCGTTGAGCAAAAATAGAATTGTATGGTAAAAATATATATGAAAAATTAAATATTCTTCTACTTTTGTTCCTACAAATCCTCCTACCCAATTAAATGATGACATGTGTCATATTAATATATTAAAATATCATTAAATAAGCATTAACTTTTACACATATCACTATTTAATTGGGTAGAAAGATTTGTATGAACAACAAGTAGGAAGATATTTTATTTCTCTCTCTATATAAACAGATACATTAAAACTTCAAGATCTAATAAAAATATGAAAAACTAAATATAAACAGGTAATTACAATAGATATTTGTATCAATAATATTTTTTCATTCAAAACTCAAACAAAATAACATAATCATAATTTTAAAGTCAATTATATATAAACAGTAAAAACATTAAAAATATAATTTACATTAATTATCTAAAACGTTAAATTAAAACTGAAAACATAACAATAAACACATCGGTTCTAAGCTTGTGAATCCCTTTTTTCATCAGACTTATACGTGTAAAAATAAGATAATGTAATGATTTTAAAGTTCAATCCATAAATACCTACTAATTAGAAGCTGAGTTGTATTATTAAAATAATACTCCTATTAAATTAACATATATAATTTTTAATTTTTTTTAAATGAAAAAGAATGAAATGTAAGTAGAAAATTTAATAATTTTAATACAAAAATTTAAAATAAATTACAACATATAATGGAAATCTAAAATAAAGTATTTAATAAAATTAATTTAGTTTTTTATATATTTCACATTTTTATAATAACAATGAATATGTTTTTAATGAATTTATTATTAAAAAAAAATATTTTAAATATTTATTTATCTTTTTTAAAAAACCGATTCACTTCTAAAGTCTTATCTTTTCATTTCTTATTCCAACAAAATTTGATTTTTTTTCGTTTTCCATCTAAAAACATAAACCCCTAAATGTTACCTCTATTCCACTTACATTTAAACTAAAAGATTAAAATGGATTACAATATGTCATTTTTTTGGTTTAGTTTTTTAGTTTTACATTTTTTCAAATCCGAAATAGTTCTAAATAACTTATATATATAATTATAAAAAATATAAATAACTAACCGATAAATATAATGAATAGTTTTTTGAAGTTAAAACTAAAAACAATGCTGGAAATTGGATTATAAAAAAAGTAATAACATGTTGGAATTTAGATTAGAAGTTGCTTAAAATAAAATATCATCATAACTTTCAGTTTTGTCGGTAAGATTATATGTTATATTATTAGGTGTAAAACATATGTATTATACGGGTACATATAAAAAAAGTTAAATATAAAATGCTAAATATTTAAAAGTTTGAATTTATAAGAAAATTAGAAAAGTATTGAATTATTAGAATTAACATTTTTTTTTAATTTAAACAAATAATTTAGATACTTGAACAAAAGAAACTAATGAGGTTTTAATTTACAAATTTTAAAATTAAAAGGAAAATCAATTAATGAAATTGATATGTATTTTTATTATTACATTTATTATAATTGTTATATTTAAATATTACGTGCAATTTGATAAAATGAAAAAAAACACAAAATGTCATGTGGAAAAAATTTAATTGAAAATAACCACAAAATGACATGTGGCAAAATCAATAAGAGTGTGACATGTGACAAAAAGATTTTCATTTATTAAAGTAGATTTTTTAAAAGTTAATATTACTTAATGACAACCAAATTTCATTTTTTGTTAACTCTAAGTATCTATTTTTTTAATATTTTAATATTTTTTTGTGAAATATATAATTTATATAGTATTTAACTACTGACCTGACAATAACGTCACAACATTTATATCATTATTCATATAACATAATTGCAATCCCAAAAAATATCTACAAACCAAACTGCCATTAAATATATGATAAAATAAAATAAAATCTTTTTTCATTATATATTAATACAAAACATTATATATGATATATATACTTGTTGTTAACTATAAAATCTTCAAATCATTGATAATTACTAATTCCAATGATTGTCGTTCTAAAAAATAAAAAATAAATAAATTTCAATAGATATTAATAATATTAAACATATTACGTATCGTTTTTACTAAATCAAATACAGATAAATAATTGACGTCATGATGTATATTAAACTATCGTAAGTTAATGATAATAAAGATAACTTACATTCAAGGATATATATAATTACATAAAATATATAATGTGCCGGTAGGAAATAGGTTCTATGGATAGAGTTCCATCAGGTTATGTTGGTGTAAAATTAAGAATGCAACATGTCTCTTGGCTTGCGTAATTTATTTTATCGGGTTCATATTCGCCCTTTTAAGTATAAATAAACATGCAACTTCATAGTAAATTTTTGTGCGTTCTCAATTCATATTGACCTCCGTCTTATTTTCCAAACTCTAGCACCCTAAGGTACCAATATATATATATATATATATATATATATATATATATATATATCTATATATATATATATATATATATATATATATATATATATATATAATCAGGAAAAAATTGTGACACTACATTTCAAAGCACGTGTAATTTTACCGACATATACCAAATTGAACGGGAATTTTGGTAAACTCAAAACTAAAGATAATGAGATTGAAGTGGATGTTGCCTGAACATCAGAAATCGAAGGGTATATCTATTTACAATTGTGACACGACATCAAGTTCTATAGTTTTTAAAATCATAGAATTATGGTTGCTTCTCATGTGATCTGAAACACTTGAAATAATAACCCCATTTGGAGGAAGAAGATAATAGGCACTTACTAAGGTTACATGCCTCGAAAAAAGTGGTTGAGTTAACACATATGAATTTTTATATCCTGAAAGTTGAGTATACTCTTATGTAGATATCGTAATAGTAATATGACCAAAAACACAAATATTTTTTTTACCACCTTTAGTCATTTTCTGATCTCTTCGGATATCAAGTTGGATCTCCAATCGAAGTAAGAAAAAATATCTAATGTTGGTAGAAGAAAGAAGGCACTCACGTGGTGCCCAAATTATAAAACCCATAAAATAATGCACTTATATGGTGCCCAAATCATAACTCAGAATAAACAATATAAAACAGTGTGCTTATTGTGTTTCCTAATTGATAAACTCTAAAAAAACGATCCAAATAACATCGGTAGAAAATATGTAATGTCAACTAAAGAGAGAACTCACAAGTTCCCAGACCAGAAAACTCACAAAACAACGCACTCATATGGCTCCCAAATCATAACTCATAATAAAAACAGAAGCACATATTGGGTGCCTTAATCGAAAAAACTAAAAAAAATAGTAACCCATGAACAATGATTCCATTGTGAACAATACTCACTTTAACAATGATTATGTAGGATGAAGAGTGATTTTGACACTCACAAGTGCTCAAAATAATATATTCTTTAATGTTAAACCTTTGCTTTGATACCATGTAAACAAGGAAAAATTGATGTTAAAGTATACTAATTAAATGATATAATTACAATGAGAAGATACAAGTATATATGGAGGCATGATCCCCAAGCATAGGAAAATCCTATGCCCGTGGGCTAATTGGGCTTACGTTAATATATACAATATTTACATACAAAATGTCTCAATTATGTTAATATTTTCATCTTTAGTTCATTTATTGATAAAACACAAGGGACATAAAATATTTAAACCATGCATCGATTCCTTAATTTACATATTTGATTTTTTAAATTTCTTTAAAGATTCCAAATCATACCACACTAACCGACTGAACATTTACTTACATGATACTTGTTGAATTACAGGCAGACTATGCGATCATAAAAGTCATACATATGATGACAAATGCCCTTCCAACATATACTACCAAAGAGGAATTATACTCACATCTCTCTACTGGAATCCTTGTTGATGAAAGCAAAGTGGTAATTTACTCTCTATTTTCATATTATCAGTAGCCATAAAAGTTCATAAATGATAGACTAATTAAGATTTTTCGAGCAATGTTTTGATCGAGTGGTGGAATTCATGGTCATTAATATTTGAATCTGTATATAGGTGATTCTGACTCAACCTAAATAAACTCATATTTTCTATTAGGCTTCTAAATACAATATCTATCTCAGGTTCAATAGTGGCTCCATATCTCATCCCTCCAATATTCTCTTAGCTTAGTATTGATTTCATTAAGGGAAGGAGTTGTGAATTTACCATGGAGATCCTTTTCTATAGTTCCAAAGTCCTAAATAATAAACATGTTGGGTTTTCTATGCAATTATGCATATGTACATGAATTTTAGGCAACGTAAGCATTTATAAATAACCCTAAGTGTACATGCACCATAGATATAGGTTTTACTATTACAACATAATTTCAAAACTATGAATTCAACTACCAAGAGAGATAGAATTACTAACCTTAAAATTAAAATCGTATTTACTCTTGATTCCCTTGAAGATCTTGAACTCTTGGTGGCTTCTTGGAAGGACTAGCACCCACAGTAGAATGTCTTTAAAGGCTCACACCCAAAAGTATAAAACCCTAGAAAACAAGTAGAGAGGAGAGAGAAATTGAGAAAATTAGATTCTTAGAGTGCAGGGAAGATTAGAAATGAAATTATAAAGGTTTAAAGGGTCCATTTATAGTTGAGGTAACTTGTAGACAAACCTGATTTGAATCAATTAAATAATAAGATTTAATCTATATTCAAATCCTTTCTCTATCATCCATTAGGATCGATTCTAGAAGGTTTCTATATCCTCTCCAAAACCGTCCACCCCATTAGTGATTCCAGAATGTTCCTCTTGCTCAACTATTGAACAATTAACACTCAGTCTATGTACCTTTAAATAAATCCAAATTAATTCTAATTAATTGCAGTTAATTCTAAATTGATTATAACTAGTTTTTAATTAATTTATTAACTAGTAATAAATTAAGATACTATTCCCCCCCCCCCCACCCAAAATCCTTTTCTAGCTAAATTTTAGCTCTTGAGGGAAACCGTAAAAGAAATTTGTTATTATTCATAAAGTTATACCAATTAGTTATGACATTGGACACCTATTTCCAACAGTCTCCCACTTGAACAAGTCATCAACTACTATTGGTCAAATATTTTTCGAAAAACCAACAAATTGTGCCTTACACGACAACTGCCAAACTCTGATCATATCAAGAATCAAACCTTAGATAAGTGATCAATTATCCCTCCGTTTCTACAAGATACCATTTTGAAATGAGTCATGGATTATGAATCAAGCTAACATTTCAACATTATGTTTCTCGATTTCCGATGATCAAATCAGACTACCAACTGAACACATCAATTTAGTCCGAACCTAGCCAGACACATTAGATATCAACACGAAATCATCGAGGTCCCCAAGGATATCGCTAGGGGTGAGCATGGGTCAGTTTTGACCTAAACCCAAACCCTAACCCTAATCAATATTATCGGTTTTTAAAGTTTTAAAACCGAAACCAATACCTAAACCGTTGTGTTCGGATTCTCGGTTTTCAGTTTTTAATGGGTTGGTTTTGGTTTAAAACCCAAACCCAAACCAAGTCACAAACACACTTGGTGAGACTTGGAAACTTTCATATATAGATGATGAAAAGGGTGAAAGTTCTCTTCATCAACCGATATGGGATCTTTGGTACATTATATAAGAGAAGAAGAGGGTTGTTGTTTTTATACACATGCGATGTGGGACACATTCTATGACTTTCAAAATAAAAGACAAGATAAATGTTGGCAGGGGATTCGAACTAGAGACCTATGACACACATAATCTTCTACATCAAAGCACTTACCATGAGACAACCCTATTGTATATGATTTTAACTCCAAGAATATATATATATATATATATATATATATATATATCTATATATATATATATATATATATATATATATATATATATATATACAGAACATAGATTATATTTTATAAAATTCGATTCGGTTCGGTTTTTTTGGTTTTTAATATTTCCGAAACTGAACCCAAACCAAATTTTTTCAGTTTTAAGAAATTAAAACCCAAAACGACGGTTAGGTTTTGGTTTCGGTTTTTCGTTTTCGGTTTCGTCGATTTTTGTTGGTTTTTGGGTTTTCGAGTTCGGTTTTGCTCACCCTTAGATATCGTTTCTCCTATTAAGGAAGAAGAAACAAATAAACTTTGACTATATAATTTTTGTCTACTTGTAAAATCATGCATGCCCTTACTCGTTATAACCACCAATTATGAATAACGTTAAAGAATGACCAATACACAACCAACTTATATGCAAAGAACTCAATTTCTCTTCGTTTTAAGAAAAACAAATGTTATCATCTTTGAATTACTCGTAAGTATATCCATTAAGTAACATTCCAAGTGAGGGTTGTTCCAATACATAAATCTCCATTAAAAACTCATGAGTGTTAGTCCCAATCTCCATGTTATGTCTAATCACTATAAACAATCTACTAACACTTCATGACAATCTTAACTCAATACTCACTCCTAAGAGTATGACCGATTGTGGAGTTTTGAATAAATTAATATTCAGGAAGTGTGTTCTAAACATGTAAAATGAGAACACACTAATAAACTAATTGAAATGACTGATCTCCATCATATATTAAGATCTCTACTTAATAATCGCCAAATCAGATTAAGACTTTATATTGCTTAAGTTCTTAAATTTAAAACAAACTATTTGAAGTGGGCTCAAGTCAAATCATTTGCAAATCAAATACCTCATCACCAAGTCTTACTGTCAGACTTGTTAACTTAGCAAATGGATCGACAAGTATTTCTTTCGATATGACTCTATTAACTATGATGTCTTCACATTCGAACAACTATTAGATATGGTTGTACTTACATAGTATACGTCATGTGAGCTTGTTTGATGTTGGGATGCATACTCGACGTAAGTTCACCCTTTCAATCACAAGAACCTTCAAAAGGACCATCAATGATTGAACCTCAACAATGATGTCACTAATAAATTTGTTATAGTCACATAACTTCCTTTGCAATCTGACCAGTTGCAATATACTCCAAGTTTATTGTTAAATCCACCATGGTGTATAACCTGGTACACTTCCAAGCTAATACTTCAAAATTCAGTAAAATCACGATTTCCGACTGCAAATGATCGTCTTTATTGTAACATCCCCATCTAGCACGTATCACAATATTTTCCGCTTTGGGCTCCCAACACGAAAACTTCCTAGGGGGTCACCCATCCCTGAATTGCTCTCACCCAGGAACGCTTAACTATAGATTTCTTATGGCATCTGATACCCTCACGACTTTAAAACGCGTTGTGACAAGGAAGGTATCAACATCCCTCATAAGGAATATTTAGTTATTCTTTCCAGCCAATGTGAGATCAGATGCAACCCACCTTAAAAATTTTAGACCATTTCTTGATTTATGCATGTCATCCTTGCACAGGGTCCATGCTAATCTTCTCTGTATCGTTCCAATTTTATCGGATGTCCCTAACGAGGACGTTGAACCCTATAAATGGGGTGAAGGTGGGTTGCACTTGATCCCAAATCGGCTGAAAAGGATAACTAAATATTCCTTATGAGGGATGTTGATACCTTCCCAGTCCTAATGCATTTTAAAGCTGTAAGGGAAGCATATCCCATAAGAACTCTATAGTTAAGCGTTCTCGGGCGAGAGTAGTACCGAGATGGGTGGCCCCCTGGGAAGTCCTCTTAACGGGAGCCCAAAGCAGGTAATATTGTGATACATGCCATGGAGATGTTACAAATGGTACCAGAGCCAGGGCATGGGTCGATGTGTTCGATAGAGAGGTCGAACCTTATAAGGGGGGGGGGGGTGAAGGTGGGTGGCAACCTTCACCTGATTCCACATCGGCTTGGAAGGAGCACAAAACATTTTCTTATAAGGGTGGGCATACCTTCCTTGTCAAAACGCGTTTTAAAGTCGTGAGGGCAGTACATCTCATAAGAACTCTACAGTTAAGAGTATATATATATATATATATATATATATATATATATATATATATATATGGCTTATCTTTTGTTTTTCGAAATTCAAACTCCTTGAACTTTCTCAGTGGAAAGAAAATTTCACAACCTTTGAAGACTTTGGTTTCTTTTGGCAATTAGGAAGTTGATGAAGATGACAACATGCTCCAAAGTAGAAGCTCTCTAGTGATATCCACCAAGCAAGAGTAAGCCACCAAAAATGTTAGTCTTCACTTGTATATATGTTGTTCTTAAGCTTTAAGATTTATACCAAATAAACCTTAAAGAGAACCAACATAAAAGCACTTGAATCTTGCACCAAAATGCAAGACAAAGAGGATAGGGGAGATCTAAATTGCTCTCGACAATTTGTATCAAAAAGAAGAAAAAGAGAGTGAGTTAAAAGGCAACCATTTCTTATCTAATTCCTTTTTTTATTCATGTACATATATACAAATGTTAGACATATAACAATGAGAGAATGGAACTTTCTTACACGCATGGGATGAAGTATTAAACAAATGCAAAAGCAATCTCACTCCATCCCTATGTATTTTCGGCCTTTTGGACAAGAAGTCAAAATTTGGAGTTCTTCATACTTAACCGATAACATAGTTCTATCTTAACTAAATGGTTACTTTGAGCGCCCAAAACGTTGTACACTCCATTTATATTCATACCATATGATATTTAGATTTTTTTGTTTCCTTTTATTATTATTCCTAGAAACAATAATTCCTAATATGTTGGTAAAATATTATTTTCATAAAATAATGTTTTTCCCATTAAATACAAGTGTTGACTATATTTTTTTTAATAATCAAATTACTATAAATAAATAAATTATTAGTACTAACTAGCTATCAAGTGTGACCCTATAAGATCATATCTCATTAGCAATATCATTCTATAATTACTCTTGGGCATAAACATCTATCAATATGTACGTATATATATATATATATATATATATATACACACACACACACATACATATTGATTGAGAATACCACAAATATAGGATATAAGTTCTTATCTTTCTATCATCTACATTATTCTCCCTTTTTCGCAATCCTCATATTATTCGAGATACCAGAACCAGGCATTACAAGCATAGATTTTCTGTCCACCAAACCAACTTTTTCTAATTCAAGGTATGCCACCATAGCCTTCAGCATCGAAACTTCACCCTGATAACCAGCCAGCTTATTCTCCAAAACAACCTTGTCATTTTGCATAACAGATAGTTCACACCTTACCATGTCCATCTCCGCTTGAGAAAACATATCAACACTAGGAGAGACCTTCTCTAACTCATCAAACCTATCCACAAGCTTCACATACTGGTCACAGAATGATTTCACATTATGGGAAGCACCACCAGAAAGAACCACAAGCAGTTTTACAAGTTCATATATCTTCTTAAATTCATCACGAAGGCCACGATTTTCTAGATGCAAGGCCTCATTTTCTTCGATCCATGAGATAACTTCCTAACCTAGAACCATGTTCTCAACAAGTTTAATCTTGAACTTATCTCGGATATGATCCCTACGATCTTGGCTAACGTTTGAGCGGGTGCCAAGGGAGGCAAAATTTTCAAAAAAGGAAATAACAACCTTTGGCTCCATTAAACTTTGCTCTTGCTTATATTCCAAGACGGAGCATAAATAGGACTAGCAGATGAGGAGTATTAGTATCATGAGGGGGACTGTTAGATTTCAGTTGAGCAATATATGTAGCAGGACGACCAACACCAAGGTTACTACCAAATGAAGAAAAAGCCCCAGGATCCAAGGAATGGGACCTATTGAGAACTCTAAAGCTTCCGCTAAAGCGGCCGATGCAACAGAATCCCTCCCTCTCTTACGACGAATTAACGGTTGCTCACCACTCCCACATCATCGAAAATAGCCACAAGACAAGTTAAAACATGTGGAGTACGATTACCAATCGTATCATCGTAGGGGTCATGAACCCTAACTGAAGATTCAGAGTCCTCCTCACCTTCCTCCTCCTCTTGCGTGTTACTACCAGTACTACCGTTATAAGTAAAACTATCATCGATAATAGGAAGGTCAAAGTCAACAGAGCCAAGATCACACGCCACAATCTTACCCTCTACAAAGTCAGACAAAAGGAATGGTAACCGATCTCCATCTAAACAAATTCAAATAAGATGAGTACACATAAGGAAAGCAAGGGGAGTAATATTTGTGAAAGAAAAATACATGGGGCATGGACAAACAAAGTGGGAACAACTACAAGGTGCAACCAGTATAGAATGATGCCAACCTGACCCAACACGGCTTCAGGAAACTTCTTCATCATCACATTGAAACGAGAAATCTTATCTATATTCTGACCCAAATCACTAGTATTGTCAGGCTTTTGATCATCAATCGTACCAGGAAGATGGAATTCATTCCGATAAGGGAAGCAAGAAGTATGCAACCAGATAAACTCATTTTTCCAATTTTTTATGGAATTGGGAAGACCCTCAATAAAACTCCATCTCATAGGCCGAAAAATATCAAGCCCTATTACTACAAATACTAAAAAAGTACTGGAATAAAGAAATGGTGGGTACAACCAAAGACGCATGACAAAGCAACTCAAAACAGATAACCTTCGAAATGGAATTAGGTTTTAATTGACAAGTATGAATATTATACACTTCAATAATCGACCCAAAGAACGGGGAGGGAGGCACATGAAGACTAGCCTCAAAATAATAGAGATAAAAACAAACTTTACCCAGAGGAGGACGATCGATCACAACATCTTGACCAGGAAGAGCAACACCGTCCCCTTTAACAAGATGATACTTAGCCGAAACTTGTTTAAGGCGTTCGCGGTTATGGGGAAAATGAACATAACTTAGCGAGACATTTCCTTACAAAAGAAACAAGGTATCAAGGAAGAGAAAGACCACAGAGAATAAGGATAAAACGGAAGGAAGAATCAAAGTTGTCAAAGATTTGACAAGCATTTATGAGAAGAGAAGTGGGAAAGCCAACTGCTACAAAAACGATCAAGTGCCTATGGACCCCACGGAGATCTAGGCACATGAGACAATACATCATGCAATCACTAAAACTTGAAGGAATTGGAAAGGCAATAACTATTTTAGCCTAATTATTATAAAGCAGTGATGCTTTATAAAAATTAGGCTAGGGGGCTTAATGGAGTATGGGTTTCAATCCACATAGCACTAGGCCAACCAATGCACCTGACCCGGTTAAATAGTGCATGAATGATACTGAGCACGTAGGACATGAATCAACCTACTCTCGTACACACCCTATGAAGCATCCCAATGAAACACAGAAAATGCAAGATTATTTTAATAAAAATGAGCTTTACCCTTGCGGCCTAAGGACCAACGCAAAACCCAAAAGAAGGGATCATGAACCAGTATGAGCCTTGATTATAAAGCAAGGCCCCGTCCAACCCAAAGGAGGTAAGCCTTAACTCTTCGTAATTCTAGCAAGTTCAACATCCATGCCTTAGATATGACTTCTAACTTAGGCATATGAGAGCAATACTGGGGTCCAACGCTCGGTATGGCTTTCTAACCTAGATTTGTCAACTTCATGCAGCGTGTTGCCGGGAGTGATCATTGGAAGGAGCTCGCACATGGGTAACCACACATGCATCCAGGCAACCACATAGCAACAATTCTCAACTATACTCTCAGATTGATGTGTCGGTTAACCACACGAGGTCCATTAACATATAAAGAAAAATGTGCATATTTTCATGGATAACATAAGATTCATGTTTTTTAATAAAACGGGATTTGTTTTATATTTTAAGTTAATACTTTAACTTGAACACTTATTGAATCAAACCCTTTCGATAACTCCACTCTCAAAATGTAAAGAGAATGTGAGGGTGGTAAGTTTTGAGCTTTTAAAAAACCGACCTCATTACGAATGAGAGTGACTACCTTAAACCTCTTTTATACCTTTATATATATATATAAATTTACAAATTTTAAATTTAGTTGTCTTGAATTATTTTAATTGAACATACGAGGACCCAAGTTGTAGTTAGCATTAATTTAATTTCAATATTCAAACTTATTAATTAAAATTATAAACAATATATAAATAAATTAAATATTAAAATTTAAATCACTATCTAAATAATATTTAAATAAAGAGGGAATATCCAAATTTCAAAATCTATCAGATTTGTTTCTTACACGACAAGTGAGGGAACTTGTGGGGAAATTTATGGTTTCTATCAATCGTAGAGGGCGTGTCACGCCCACAATGGACACATTTCTTCCTGTCGACATCAATGTATCTTTTCCAATTTAGTTTTATGGGTTTGTGGTTATCTAAATCCTAGCTTGATTTACTCTGACATGGTTTTATAAGATCTACTACCACAAAGATAATCCTAACAACTCAAATCTATGGTTTTATAAGATATACTACCACAAAGCTTGATTTACTCCGACATGGATATATTAATGATTTCCTTTCTTTTGCAGTGGTTTTCTATAGATGATAATGGAAAGAATCAAGAAATGATATCTGCAATGAAGTTCATGAATCCAGATCCAAACAAATTTAAAGCCATCTCTTACCTTGAATCTCGGTTATTTCTCATTTTTGTATAAAACTTTATCTAGTCACATATGCACAAATTCCATACATTATTTAACGAGTTTACCATGTAATGATGGAATGGCTTATTTATATATTCATGAAGGAACTAATGTAGTTGTATTGATATGGTCTACATGTAGATTCCGGAAGGTAGCAAAGATTTTGAATGTCTCGAAGGTTGATATGCAAGTGGTGGTCAGAACAAATTTTTTATCATCCGATGTCATATATGCAGCTTACCTCGTATGCAAACAAGTATCCCATATATTTGAATCACCCAAACTTGCAGGTCTAAAGTACAAACTGAACAACCAAAAAAAATCTTACAAATCATATATTCGAGATTATATGGAAAATGGATGGGTGATGATCGAACTCTTTCAGACCAATAGTAAAAGAAGAGATGTTGAAATCAAAATTTTTCTAGAACAAATTTATGTGGATTCTTATTCCCGAAAAGATGAAGTGGTTATTGAAGGTATCCTGTTTTTGCCAAAAAAGAAGGTAGCGTTAGAACAAAAAATTTATTCTACCCATTCATTGTGATATTTTTAAACACATTTTGGCTATGGATATTACTTTTACACTTTACTATATATGTTCTTTACAGTTTGATGGTAAAAAAATCAGCAAACAAGATGTTATGAATCCCCCAACATGGGAAAATTTATTACCAAACGACTACCAACAACTCCTAGATGGTGCACGTAGAAAGATTAAGGAAAACCCTCAAAATCACGTTCCTATCAAAACCAAATGGCATGCATACTCTGTTCTTTCCAAGGGTGTTTACATTAAAGTCACGGGTTCTAAAGATATTGATGTGGTGAGTCTCTAATTTTAAATATTTTACTTTCTTAGGGCATCGACAATCTATTGAACTCTATAGATTTCAATGGATTGACACATCATCCATTAAACATCTATACAACATCATTCACAACCCATTAAACACTTATTCAATCTTAATCATCACTATATTCTTTCTATTTAACCATTCAATGATTATTCAACTCCTCCATTCAACTCTCTCCATGTCATCACCCACACTCCATTCAACTCTTATTCAATCTTAATCATCATCTTATTCAACTCTTATACTATTTGTATTTTGGATGCTCTTAACTTGATAAGCTTCACAAAATTTGCCTTTGATCCTTTACCTTCTAACTTACTTACATGTCATATAAACGTTAAGGTGATGTGATGCCAAAACAAGTAAAAACATAAGATATGTAATTATCAAACTATCATTCTATGGTAGGCAAGGAGAATGTTTGACAAATACATTGTTGTAATGAGTAATAAAATGCTTAAAAATATTATTATTTGCAGTGGTTTTGGATAAACGATTTAAATGGAAAGAAATGTTGTATGTTATCACCAGAGTTGATTCAGTCTTCCTCATCAGACGAGCTCAAACTTAAATATCTATTTAAATCACGGTTCTCTCTCTCTCTCTCTCTCTCTCTCTCTCTATTTGAACTAAACTAAATGCTTTTTCCTCACTGAATTGCATTCTTTAAAAGAGTATAATTTACAATATCCAATTAAAAAACTATATAATATTGATAAACCTAAACAACTAGTTATGTAATTACATGTTACCTGGACTACTTCTTTTTAATGAATAAGACATTGATCATTAAAACTTATTATATTAAAATATCTTATTTAATAAAACACTGAAACTTATTATATATATAATGGGTTCATTTAAGTATATACTAATTAAATAGCGTTATAGTTAACAGATTATAATGAACCGAACAAATAGGTGGATCACGTTGTTTAAATATTAGTGACAAGTAGATTGTAATATCTTGTACGACATACACTAATCGTTGATGTCCAATACAGATTCAGATATGTATTGGTATTAAAATCTTCACCTTCATATACACCCCGCATGTCATTGAAGATTATAGATTCTTTTTTGTCAACAAATACTAGTTATTCGTGTTACCTCGTTTATAAGATACAAGGACATGTGGAGAATCCAGTTATTGTGGGAATTACACAACGCATGTCCAGAAAACCACACAATGAAAACAAACGATGGTATAATCAGCAAAATATTGTGTATTTGAGTACACCTCAGAGCCAAGTAATAGGAGAACTGAGTGGTTATAAAGAATCTCATAGCACAATGAACAAAACCAACATGATAGCATATCCAAGAAGGAGGAGTGATGATTGGTGGGAGGTGAAGTTAGGGGAATTTATTACATTTGATGATGCTGGTGATAATGAAAAGTGGATCCAAAATTTTCTTCCATGGTATGATTTATCTTAATATTTTTTTTCCGAATGATTAGTCCGCTAGCTAGAAGATTTTGTTCAAAAAAAAGAATAATCTATTTATAGTTTTATTTTGTTTAAACAGTAGATATATTATTCTTTTCAGGATATCTACGTGCCTACCTTGTCTTCCGTGTGTGTCCGACCTTACACGTGACGGGGATGATTATGTTGCAACCAAATTCGCTTCTTTATGCCTTGATTGTGACCCACTGATTAACATAGATATGGACTGGAGAGGCCTCAGACATTGTGATTTCAATATGCCAGAGATCATTGTGGAAGGTATTGAGTTTCGACCTTTGTAAAATGCATATTTTGTGTTGGAAGAATTTTAGATCCCTCCATGTATTGTCATTGGTTTTCTTCTAATAGAAAGCAGCTCGTTTTTTACTTTATTTCACAGCTTATATGATGAATAAATCATCACCTCAAATAATGTTACAATATGCATTTCCATCATTGATACTTTATTTTTAGAATGAAATTTTGCGATGAGTATTTGGTCACTATTTTTAGACTATTTTCTTTTAGTGAAAAAGAAAGTGCAACAATTTTCTTGTGTTTTTTTACCTAATGTGAATCCAGTATTCTCAAAATAAATCTTATGAAAACCAATATTATGAACCTGTTGGTCCGAGATTGAATGAAGTACATAACTTAATTTTAGTGAATTGATTGAAAATTAATAACACAATATTTAACACATGTATAAATTGAAATAGTCTTGTACATTTGAAATAGTCTGTAACTAGTTCCTGAGGGTTAGGAGTCATTTACTCTCTTTCAGTTCTGTATCCATGTATATATACCTTGTACTTCCTTGTTCAGGGATATAGGAAAATATTCTTCCCTTTATGGTATCAGAGCCCTAAAAATCTCTCACAAATTTTTTTTTCTCTCTCGTGACTTCATCCATGGCAGCAAGTTCTCTCAGTTTACTCAATCTTGCTGTTACCAACACATCTAACTTAAATTTCCAAATCCCATCTATCACAGTCAAACTTGATAGAGATAACTATGTTCTCTGGCGCACAACAATTCTTGCAGCTCTTGAAACCTTTGATTTGGAAGAATTTGTTCTTCATCCTAATCCACCACCTGCAACCATTCAAGTTCCAGCGGTTTCTGCTTCTCCGGCTACTGCTGATGCTCCTGCTGTCACTGCTACTCCGGCCACCACAGCTCCTAATCCCGACTATGCTACCTGGAAGAAGAGGGATAGATTTGTCTTATTATGGTTAAAATCCACCTTGTCTGATAGAGCCCTAGCTCTTGTCACTCTATCAACTTCATCTCAAATGGCTTGGCAAGCCATTGAACGGAACTTTCAAGCTCAATCTAGGGCTTCTCGTTTTCAATTTCGAGCCCAACTTCAAACACTCTCTAAAGGGTCAATGTCAATGATCGACTACATTGAGAAAAAGCGATCTATTGCTGATTTTCTAGCTACCAATCTTACTCCAATCTCTGATGAGGAACTTATTGGTCATATATTGACCGGTCTTGATTCATCATATGGCGCTTTTACTACTGCTTTTATGATGAAAACTGAAGCCATGACTGTTGATGATCTTGTAGGTTTTTTGTTACAGGAGGAAGCACGCCTAGAACAAGAACATGCTAGATTAGCATCTGTTCAATCACCACCTGCTGCTCTTACAGTAAATCGATTCAACAACCGTTCATCCAACTCCCACAACAATCAAAATCCTAATTCAGGCATTCGCAATTCTGACTCCAGAAAGCGCCGACCACTGTGTCAGTTGTGCAACAAACAAGGACATGAAGCTATTGATTGCTGGCAAAGAGGAAATCAGACTGATTATCCTTCTAGACGTCCTAATCCCACACAGCAGACTCGACAAGCCCATATAGCACAACACAACATCAGTCCTTCTACTGTCATTGACCCTGCTTGGTATTTTGATACTGGGGCCACTGATCACGTCTCTCCTGACTTGAACAAGCTCCATATTACAGAAGAATACAAAGGGGATGATAAGCTGCAAGTGGGAAACGGTAAAAACCTGTGTATTTCTCATGTTGGATCCTCTTCTTTGCCTAATTTAAAATTACCAACTGTGCTTATTGTTCCTAAACTCACTAAAAATCTTTTAAGTGTGTCTAAGTTAACAGTAGACAATAATGTCTATATGGAGTTCTGGCCTAATCATTGTACTGTTAAGACCTTGCAGGGACAAACCATACTCAAAGGGGATGTTAAACACAATCTCTATCGGCTGCCTCATACCATATCAAAACCTCATTCAATGGCATTTACCGGTGTTCGTACATCCTTACATGGCTGGCATAAACGTTTGGCACACCCGCATGAACCTATTCTGCGTAAACTTGTGACTTCATTTAATCTTCCTGTTTCATCAAATAAATTTCCAAGTGTTTGTGACTCCTGTCAACTTGGAAAAAGTCATCGCTTTCATCTTGCATCTTCGCATGTTACATCTTCTGCACCTTTTGAACTTGTTTATTCTGATGTATGGGGGCCATCCCATGAATTTTCTTTAAATGGAAATCGGTATTTTATTTTATTTGTTGATGATTGCACAAAGTTTATATGGATATATTTCTTGTCCCATAAATCCCAAACCTTTTCTACTTTCTTACAATTTCGAACCATGATAAAAACTCAATTCAACTATGATATAAAGAGCTTACAAACAGATTGGGGTGGGGAATTTCGAAATATTTCTTCCTTTCTTCAAGCAAATGGTGTCATTCATCGTATTTCTTGTCCCTATACCCAAGCACAAAATGGATCTGTTGAACGTAGAAACAGAATCATAGTTGAAAAAGGATTAACTCTTCTAGCTCAAGCTTCACTACCTCAAGTTTTCTGGGAACATGCTTTTAAAACAGCAACCTACTTAAACAATCGTACCATCACACCAATATTACATTACCAATCACCCTATCAAAAACTTTATCTCAAAGCTCCTGATTATGATTTTCTAAAAACCTTTGGCTGCCTTTGTTATCCTTTTCTCAGACCATATAATGCTCACAAAATTGATTTTCGTTCCAAACCTTGCATTTTTCTAGGATATAGTGCTTCACACAAAGGCTATCTTTGTTTTCATCAACCAACCTCTCGCATATACATCTCCCGCTATGTTGTTTTCAATGAGGAAGTCTTTCCATACATTCCTCAATCTACTCCTTCACATCAGACATCACAAAATGTTGACAATACCCCTACCATTATTACTCAAATAGATTCACCATCCTCAATCCAATCGTCCCCAACCATCTCATCTCATTCATCACCACCTTCAAACCCCAACTCGAATCCATCAAATACTCCAATCATCTCATCTATGTCTCCCTCTCCCACTCCACATCATCAACAATCCACAATTAGCTCAAGAGCTCGACAAAATCCTTCTATTCCTTCTCATTATCGTCCTGCTGACAATAATCAACATTCTATGATGACCCGTGCTCGCACAAACTCACTAAAACCAAAACTCTTCCATCTTTCTACATCATCTCATCTTGAACCACAAAATTTCTCTCAAGCTAATAAGCACACATGTTGGAAAATTGCAATGAAGGCAGAGTATGATGCACTCATGAAAAATAACACATGGTCTTTAGTTTCTTGTCCCACTAATACTAATGTTATTGGTTGTAAGTGGATTTACAGGATTAAAAGAAGTTCGGATGGCACTATCGAGCGACACAAAGCCAGATTAGTAGCACAGGGCTTTAGTCAAGAGGCTGGAATTGATTTTTTTGAGACGTTTAGTCCAGTTATTAAGCCTACAACTATACGGCTCGTGCTCTCCATTGCTGTTTCTCAAGGCTGGAAAATTCGACAAATCCACATTAACAATGCCTTTCTTAATGGCGATCTAACGGAGGAGGTATACATGAAACAACCAAAAGGGTTTGAAGATCCGAATAATCCCACCCATATGTGTCGATTACACAAAGCTCTTTACGGACTTAAACAAGCACCAAGAGCTTGGTTTACAAAACTAAAGCAATACTTGGTTACGCATGGTTTTAGAGCGTGCCAATCTGATACATCTCTGTTTGTGCATATTTCATCTACCTCCACTGTTTATGTTCTTGTGTATGTGGATGATTTAATTGTAACAGGCACAAATGCATCTCATCTTCAGACGTTTATCAAAGCCCTGAATCAACAATTCTCATTAAAAGACCTTGGTGACTTGCATTATTTTCTTGGTCTTCAAATACATCGACATGCAGATGGTCTCCAAATTTCTCAACAGGCATATATACAAGAAGTTATAAACAAAAGCAACATGGCGATGGCAGCTCCAATGTCGACACCAGCTGATCCTTATCATCGTCTTCAATTAGAAGGTGACCCATTTGAAGATCCAAAATTGTATAGACAGATAGTTGGTTCTCTTCAATATGCAACAATCACACGTCCCGATATTGCTTACTCGGTTAATAGAGTTTGTCAGTTTATGCATGCTCCAACAACTAGACATTGGCAAGCAGTGAAACGTATACTTCGATACTTAAAAGGGACTATTGATCATTGTCTTCACTTCAAACCCAGTACAGCTTGTGCTCTTCATGCTTATTCTGATGCAGGTTGGAATTCAGATCGTGATGATAGTCGTTCTCAATATGGATTTGCCATTTTTCATGGTTCAAATCTGATTAGTTGGACATCCAGAAAGCAAAAAGTCGTGGCTAGATCAAGCACGGAAGCTGAGTATAGGTCCTTGGCTTATACTACTGCTGAATTGTTGTGGATCAAACAGCTAATAGCAGATCTTCAAGCACCAATCACTCACTCACCACTTCTGTTATGTGACAATGTTGGGGCTATTTTCCTGAGCAAAAATCCGGTTATCAGTACTCGCTCAAAACACATTGCATTGGACTTTCATTTCATCCGTGAGCAAGTCGAAGAAGGCACATTGAAGATAGTTTATGTTTCCTCAGTTGATCAAGTTGCGGATATTTTCACAAAGCCTCTGGGAAAGGATAGAGTTTGTTTTCTTCGTTCCAAGCTTCAAGTTCGTCCCTCTGTTCAGCTTGCCGGGGAATAATAACACAATATTTAACACATGTATAAATTGAAATAGTCTTGTACATTTGAAATAGTCTGTAACTAGTTCCTGAGGGTTAGGAGTCATTTACTCTCTTTCAGTTCTGTATCCATGTATATATACCTTGTACTCCCTTGTTCAGGGATATAGGAAAATATTCTTCCCTTTAAAAATGAATGGAACGCTATTTTAGGTGTTGTTTGTTTTTTCGAAGCAAAAACGGCTGAAGTTTGCGGATCACATCTGCAACCCTCTGCAGTAAAAGAGGTAGATCAAACGGCTGCAGCCAATAATAAGAAGTCTATTTGATTTTTAATCTCTCAGACTGCTGCAATAAGCTGAAATTAACTATACAATAGTTAAAAATAAATCTAAATAAAAAAATTATTTAGTTTAATTATATGCAAATCAAATATAAAGATTATTGTGATGATATGATTTTTAAAGAGGCTTATATAAAAGAATAAACCTAATATTTGCTACATAACAATAATTAAAATTGTTAATTTAGCTAAAAACATATTCATTTTTGTTAAAATTTTGAAGACGATGATCGGGTTAACTTCAATAAATTTGATAATTTTAATGATTAGCTTTATAATTTATTAATATTTTGTTATAGACAATATAACACAAAAAATATTTATATGAAATTTACCAAACGGTTTTGAAATTATGTAAAATATACTCCAATTGTTTATAATATTCTTCAAATATTATTAAAATAATAAACATGTTGAAAAAAAAACTACACCAAATCTAAGTTGAATAATATAACTTAAAGTATGTGAGAAGTGGTTTGAAATGGATGATCCAATGTTGCGCCACGCAGCACAGGCGCAGCAGTTTTTAAGTTAAAAGTCTTCCAAAAAAACAAACAACTGTGAAACGCCAAGTGATGCACGTGTGCTGCGTGGTGCAGCTAAAAATGGTCAGAAGTGGTTTTCTGGAAAAACAAACAGTACCTTAGTAAACTAAACACACATGATTCTTTTTCAATATAATTTCATTAATCAAATAGAGATTACAGGAAGTTCTAAAAAGGGAACAGACTAGTAAGTAATCGAATACTTGCTTAAAACTTATTTAAAATTCTTTTATAGGTCATATATATGGTGTTGAGTCAGACACAACGAATTTATACACAAAAATCTATTCACAAGTAGGATATTGAACACCTTTAGTGCATATCCATTACGAGAAAGAAATGGGTATGTTTATGTTTAAAGAAGATTTTTTTTTGAAACATTGGTATAGAAAAAAAATGAATTTCAAAAAACTAAAAACAAAGACTTGATTATATAACTATCCTTAAGGATATTATCGCCTAATGCTTATGTGTTGGGCTAAATGGTTAAGACCCTCCCAACTCCTGGAATCCAAATAGCCTCATCCTTTCATGAAGGGTGACATGAAATACCTCTCATACTTTCTAGTAGAAATTAGGTTATCCTTTAAAATTCATTTTTAAACCTTTACATTATTTTGAAAATATCAGTGCGGAATTTGATCCCAAAAACTTTAAATCATACGTTTTAGTTAAATTGTATACGAGAGTATTTAATTCAATATCATTACTATAAATATCAATTCGGAGTCCAAGCTCCTCGATGTTATACTCGCGGATTTGCCCCTATATCGGAATGAAAATGCTCTCCGGTTCATGACATCTTCGTAATTCTCATCAAAGGTAACTGTTGAAAAGAACTCAACACACAACTCCTTGTACACCAGTTCAAAGATGTGAAATAGGTTCCACCACCCATTGCATGAAAATGTAAACCCGTCTCCAACAAAAAGCTTCTAAGGATAAGGTCCGAATCGATCTATGATTCCCATTCCAGTCAACCGTGCCCATTCATTTGTTGGTGATACCAAAATTACTTTCCTTTATAGCCATCCAAAAAGGTTGTTGTATCACGTCAATCGTTCAACCGATATATTTGTTCGGAATCGGTAAAATGGGTGCAATAGAGGCGCGTTCGGGTCGTCTTGTTTCTCCTATATATGTTGCTGGTTACGAGCTCATCTACGTGTCATTGTACCTTCGAAGTTGATTAAACATTAACACAAGAAAAATGGAAACTTGAAAGCAAGAACTTGAGGATTCGGAGATGCGCAGCTCCATGGTGAATGTGTTTTTAGGGTTCAATAACTATACCTGATATGTTCTACCATGTCGTGGTAATTGGATTACCACGCCGTGGTGAGTATTTTTAGTGCACAAATGATCGGGCTGAAAAATTAACCAGAAAAAAATAAATGAATGATATACCAATAGAAATACAAAAAATTAAAAATAAAGACAAAAAATAAAAGGAAAGTGATAAACCAAACCACAGTATGCCTCCTAGAAGCGCTTCTTTTTGAGGAGTTGTTAGCTAGTCTCCTACCGGTCTACATGGTGGTGGTTGAGA